AAGTCCCTGGAGTCTCCATGGCCTACTCGTTCCCCCCCCCTCCCACAACAAAAAAGCAGAGTTCAGTGGCTCTTTGTTTGGATGGCTGCCCCGCTAAAAATGGTCTTCCCCAAAAAGGGTTCCCTTTTTTTCCAGGGTCACTGAACAACTGAACTGAAGTTTGGAGACTCCAGATCCTTTTCAGACAGCCGCATAGGCAGAGCCTGCATGTGCTGCAACTCCTCGAGCTGCTCGGCTTTGGAATATCCTTCAGCCCATTGTTTGGTTTCTTTTGGGGCGCAGGGTGTACTGAGCGCAACCAGCTGCACCTTTGGTTTGCGGGATGTTCCTTTGAACAATTCGGCAATGACGGCTTGGGCCTCCAGTAGTGCCCTTTTACCAACTTTTTTGGGGAGGGTTCCCCTACTAAAACGGACTACAGAAAAAAAGGGTACCCTTATTCTACCCTCTACTGGAGGACCTAGTTGAGCTTTGTGGAATTTAAGCCGACCTCCACTGGGGCTAAAACGAGCTCATCCATGAAGGTTTCTCTCTTGGGGATCCCACGCATTTTTTCTTGGAGGTCAACCCAAAGACCCATGCCAGAGCTAAAGATTCCATCGCCGACAGTGGTGGCCGAGACTGAACCAACTAGTGTCCATGAACAGCGCAAAACATGATTTCCGCCGGAACAAGCAGTGAAACAATGACTGTTTTGGCATTCACAGCTGAAAAAGAGTGTTCAGAAATAGCACAAATCATGGTCTGCTTGCAACATTGACTTATGTGACTGCTCTGAACAATTGACAGCAGCCGGAAAAAGAACACAACCCTTTTGAAAATGGCAATGCTCTTGTGGGGTTCCATGTATTTGTGTTCGCGTCAGTTATTGGTATGGCAATAATTGTGGTTGCCTGGGTGTGGCAATTGCCCATTGGCCATGTTGTAAATGTGTGTGTGTGTATGTGCCAGTATCTTACAGGCTGATAGCAACAAAACTGACTGGACTGGCTGATTAGTGTGTGTGTGTGTGGGCCATGCCCTTCCAACAGATGCTTTTTTGACGCACATGGCTACTGCCTTGAAAGTGCTCTTTGGGTGTCCGCTGATGCTGGCATCTCTTTGGAACTGCTGTAAAAATCACGTCTCGGTCATGTCACCCAGGCAAAGAGGCACATCATCAGGGGCATATGTTTGGTCAGCCACTGGGCACTGGCGCGACGTATCTGTATTTCCCTAGGTTTGTAAGCCGACAAACCCACCCAACTCCAGACCGACTTGTCCCATAGAACAAAACACAGTGCACTATGGAATCCTGAAGGGGGGTAGGTACAAGCAGGGTGGGCAGTTGCGAGCCTGGGATTCTTTAGGGTTGCCCAGGGATTCTTAGGGTTCCTTAGGCAGTCTTAGGGAGCCCCTTCCCCTTGGACCACCCACCCTTAGGGCCACTTTGTGGGAAACAAACCATTTGGTGGCTTTTTTGGGCACGTCTCACTCGTCGGAAGTGAGGGATAGGCAATGGACCAGCCCTTTTTTCGAGCCTTCCCAGCCGTCAGGGCGGACACCTGACATGACGCAGTGCCCCGCCTGCTGGGTGAAGTTCGAGGAGAGCGATACCGTGGGCATTCGGCGTATAGCTCGGGGGTTTTGGCGACCGTTGTGGGTATGCAGGATTGAGTTGAATACCATCAGAAGTAAAGCTATAGATAACTACATGGTATCCGGCGGTTAGCTGGCCGTATGGTTTCGTGACAAAGACGTTACCTGAAATCGAAAACGCAAACTCTCAGCCCCACAGCGCCGCACACTAAATCCAGTTTTCTTTGTTGACAGTAACAAAAAACGGACCTTTAAAACGTCCGGACAACTACTTATTTCCAGATCCTCATGCAGTTGTCAAACCTGTATCCATAATGCAGACAAGGCTTTATCATGGTGGACTCATCCCAAAACGGGTACCCGTGAGCGTGGATGAAGCCATGTTGGCCATGGTGGACTCATCCCCAAAGCGGGTGCTAGTGGGCGTGGATCAAGCCATGTTGGTCACGGTAGATTCATCCACAAAACGGGCGCCAAACCCATGTTGGCCATGGTGGATTCACCCCCAAAACGCCAAAACGGGCGCCCAGCAGCGTGGGTTCATCCCCAAAACGGGTGCTCGTGGGCGTAAAAACCATGTTGGCCACGGTGGACTCACCCTTAAAACGGGTGCCCGTTCGCGTGGATGAATCTTGGTCGTGGTGGCAAAAACGGGTGCTCGTGGGCGTGGATAAAACCAATGGATCCCCAAAACGGGTGCCCGTGGGCGTGGATAAAACCATGTTGGTCATGGTGGACTCCTCCCCAGAAGGCTGGTATCTCCTCGTTCATGTCCTCGTCCGGAGCCAGTGGTCGCTTCGAAGTTCGGACATCAGAGTCCAGACTGATCACGGGCAGCGAGGTCTGGCAAGTCGAGCACAAGAATTGGCCTTGCACGTGCTATGGCATGACGCGACTCTGTTTATCATTGAACCAAAATCCTCTGATTCATGAAACATGGCGCAATCTGGCACGGACGTCTACACGCCGGCTTCCCAACTACATACCCTGGCTATCTACACTAGGCAATGCTTTGTGTTTGCATGTGGCCAATTTGGGAATAGCATGCACTGGACTTTGGCAGGAACGCCTTTCGTTAGCGGACTTTCCGCGACGTGTGGGTATGTGTCAAAAAGGAGGCCAACAACATGGTGTCCTTTTGGTGTCCAGCCCAAAAAGGGTACCCCTCACAAATCACCCACTGCCATGTTCTGTGACCATGAGTCCCAGTTGGAACACAGCACTTCGTAAAAAAAAAAAAAAAAAAAAAAAAAAAACAGGGCACCACAAAATTGTGGCATCCTTTGAACCTTTTTTGTGGAAGGTTCCCTGGAATTGAATCATCCGAGACAGGGGCGTTTGTGTTTGCTTGCTTTTCCTTCAAGCAAGCCCTGCTTTTGCGGCTAGGTTTCACATCTTGAGTCTTCCCCACAGAGCAAGTAAGCTATGGGTCGTACCAGCCGATACAGCCGAAGAGCAGACACCAAGCAAGCGAAGCAAGAAAGCAGAGCTCGTAAGTCAAGCAAAACAGGCGGCAAATCAGCCAATCACCAGATGTGAGAAACCTGGGAGATCAGACAGATGGCTCCTTTTGGGACCCGCCCTGTGCCGCCTTCGGGGTCCAAAACAGGACCCCCTAGCTTTAGCTCGGAAGAAACACTCGCCAGAGGGAGAAAAACCCTTGGCCTTTTTTGAAGATGTGCCAAGGTGCGCCAACATTGCAAAAGGCATATCTTTGATTTCTATGTCCATTGGGCCTTGAAAGAACTGGAAAACCATTGGCAAAAGACAAAGACTCAGCACCTTCACGGACTTGCGTCCGGGACATGTCGGCCAAAGCCTTTTGCCTCGGTGGTTGCTGGTTGTGCTGTGTGGCTTCCGGTTTTGCGAACCCAGATTCTGACAGATTTCACAACTCACGCCTGTTGTGCTATGGGCTACAGAAACTGGTCGGAGCAAAGGCGGAAGTGCCTAACCTGAAGCAAATGGAGGTGTTTGGAAATCTATCACTATTGGAAATATGTTGCTTTGTTCCAAAGGACTTCAGCAAACGGAGTTGTTTGGTTTCACTTTGGAACCAACCAAATTGTGTTTCCCCTCCAAATGACATGCATTCATAATTGTTTTCAGGAGATCCTGCCGGGCGAGATGACCATCTCACAAGCTCTTCAGGACAAGCTGCCAGCCGTTTGCGTTCCTGGAACATCCCTTACTCAAATCTATGTTTGAACATGACATCATGACTCGGCAACTCACAACACATCAAAGCTTTGCACGACTTTCACAGTAACCAGTCTCCGAAGCAGCAAGCAATGGAATACGTAGTTGGGTACCGTGCTTTCATGGAACATGGGAATACTACAGCAAATATGACATAGAATATAACGAGAAACAATGAGTTAGCATACTCAACCAATAGGTAATGTTAGTGCAATATTCGGAGATGTCAACATATTTCAACCAGGAAATGGGTGGGGCTCCATGTGCCAAAAAGTTCCGATTCGGACTTTGTTTTGTGTGCCCTGGAACCCTCCTTTTTGAACCCTCCGTGAAATTTCTGCACCCCAACCCCCTTATCTGAGCAGAGCCGGGGAAAAAGTTCAATCCGCTTTCTGGCCAATCCGCTGAATCACTGAAGTCTTCGGCTGAGGCGTACCAAAAATCCGGAATTTTCCAACACGGCTTGCCCGATCGGTAAGTGGAAATTCGTGGACTTCCAAAACCTGCGGTTTGCCGCCCCTCCGCTCGTTTCATTTTGAGCCACACCAATTGTGAGGCCCAGGCATCCGGATGTGTCTTGACGATGGGCAGGCTAGTCTCTTCACGGTCCTTGGAGCATGTTGTGTTTTTTTCTTTCTTCTTCGGTTTTGTTGTTTTGTTTTTTGTTTCTTCTTTTTTTTGTTTTGTTTTTTGTTTCTTCGTTTTTTTTTGGTTTTGTTTTCATCGTTTTTTTTTTGGGGGGGGGTTTTCCCCAACAGCTGAAAGCTTTGGTCTCAGCCCCAGATAGGCTCCGGGGCGGTCCGGGAAGGCCCTGAGGAAAGGTTTCACCAGGGTTCCGCGAGGGTTCCGCGAGGTTCTGCGAGGGCTGCGGGGTGGTGCGAGCACTAAAAAGAGCACCGCATGCTGTTGGAGATGTCACCTGAGCTTATTTGGCTCTGTTCATTTTTACTGGGGGTCTGCAAAAAACAGTCAGTTTTTTGCTACCATACCAAGAGTAGAGATGTAGTGGTTTGAACGTCCCGCTTAGGGACCCCATGGACGTCCGCGGTTCAAATTCGACGCTGGTAGTTGGACCGCGGCTCACAGATTTCCGGGGGTCGAAAAGCAACGAATTTTGCAAGCCCACATGTTGGCGACAATGGTAAGAACACCCGCTCGCGCGCTGTGCCAGTGGTACGCGCAGTTTCAGGGCTTGGGAAGACACTCTGCGCAGGAGTTCCATGAGCTTGCACTGGACGAGGCGGGCGAAATCGCGATTTGCTCTGTTTTGTTTTTTTTCCCCTCACGTGTCCTTTTTATAAGTTGGTTTGGTTAGAAACAGATGGGTTCCGCTGGTTTAAAGATGGGTTTTATGCCCCATTCACCAGGGCCATCCATTTTTTCCAACAGGACATGTGTGCCCGAGACTTGATCTGGACCCTCCCTCCAACAATGGAAGCTGACGACCGGAGGGTTTGAGAAGGCTATTCTTTGGGAAACCCTTTGCCCACTTTCGTGATCGTTGGAAAGAGGGTAATCCTGAATTGGTGATTTGGATTGGCTGGGGATTTGAAGCCGTGGTTCTTGTAGATGGTACATTACCAATCAGAGGGAAGCTGACTGGACTTTGCACTTTTTGGGAAGACCATGTTAGTGGCCATCAACAAGTTTGTTTGTTTTGGCCAACCCAGACCCAATCCGGAAGTGAGTTTCAATGTGAGCAACAATCAAAGCTGCACCAATTGTTACAAACTGACCTAAGGATAAAGCGAGCTCACCCATCTACGCAGGAAAACTTCTGATTATTTCCGGTTTGTGAGTTGTAGCCACAGCAGGGTTGATTGGTACCGATGTTCCACATCACTCTTGTGACAAACCTCGTGGGTAGATGAAGGTTAGTAGCGGACAGTCTACGAGTCTGTCTTTTTTGAGGGTACCCCTTTTTTGTTGTTTTAAAGGGAAACCAACAGGACAACCACCATTTTGGAGGTCCCATAAAAAAGACCCATCCAACTAGGTGCAGCAATGTCTGGATACCCTTCAATGCCAGGTGTTTGTGACCTCAAGTTTGAACAGGGTTTCTGCACTTCATGTTGACCCAGGATCTAAGTAGAACCCGTCCCATTAGGGAGACGTTCCCTCCAAAAGTGGTCTGAATCCCCACTGAAAGGGGACACCCAGGGGTTTATTGATCCGGGGTAAAGATTAGGGGTCTCTTTTAGCCCGAAGCATGGGGCCGTGTGAGGAAGCTCTCTGTCGGGGGTGGTTTCCCAATATCACACCAAAACTCCCAGATGGGTCTGTCTTTCTTTTAAGGCACCCTTGGGGTTGACTTTCAAGGGAGCCACGGGAAAAGGACACTTCTTCTTTTTGTTTGGGGGGGAGGTACCCCCTTTTTGAGGCACCAGATGTTTGAAACCTCCGGTCCAAAGTCGAATTTGCTGAACGGCCAGTATGATGAAGACGAAGACGACGATGACGACGAAGGGGACGAGGCACAGATCGGCTTGCTGCTGGGGACATGCAAGAATGGTCGAAAACGAGGGAGTAAGTGCATGTTTTGCAGGGTTCCTTTTTTTTGTTTCCATCGACACGAATGGGGAATCTACAAATTGAAACCAGCATCAGCATTTGGATTTTGTCATTTGGTTCTTGTGCCTCGGTTTGACTCGACTTGTCCTTTTTGGCTTGAACAGGCCAAGAGATGGCGAAAGAAACTGAACCAGTAGGCAGCCCAAAGTGTCAAGTGTCCCTCTCTCGAGATGCCGCGCATAGGGACGCCCACCCCATTTTCAAAGTGCTCCCTGGCAACCAGGAAGCCAAGCAGCCGACTATCGATACAAGTTCACAGAAGGGCCATGGAGGCTCAAAATCTGGGCTCTTCAAAGAGGGCCAGTCCCAGTCCAGAATCCCTATCGGGAAGTCACTACAAAAAGGGACCCCTCGCGTAGCCGGTTAGAAGGAGACTCCAGGCCTTTTGGGTTCATTTGCCCAAGGGGAATGTAAAAGGAGTATGTACAAGCACCCCTGGATGGTAGGGGTTTCTTCCATTTGGTTAAGACCCCTGAAAAATAAGAAATATGTTCATTAGTGATAAATTCCTTTTAAATAAACAAGGCAAAATACAAACATATTCTTAAGCAAATGGAAGCTCTTTTTTGTGCGGCCTGGCTTGAGCGTGGAGGATATGATGCTGCCAGCCGTCACGGGCATGGCCACCGAGTTCCCAGAGGAACGTTTGGCGCCCAGTGGCCATAGTGGCCATGGCCATGAAGGGTGGTTTGACCTTCGGGACGGTAGCAAAGGCCTTCATAAACCTCAATTTTGCTGAAATGATTTTTTTTATGGTCTTCCCTTGTTGGGCTTAAAAGGAATCTATCACTACTGGACATGTATTTATTTTTTTCCTGGGGCCTTAAACATGGTTGTAAAGCGGTTTTGTTCATGGTGGAACCAACAGTCAATGGGTTTCTTGGTGGTTCAACCAGAGATCCGGTTCCTCAGATTTTAGGTCTTTAGGTTGGTTTCGCCCACGAAGAGTTCGTCACTTTTTACAGGGGATCAGAAGACGGGCAGCCCAGGTGTTTAGCTGCCTTCGCGCTGCCCAACTACTATGGGTCTGTCTCAAAATCCGGGATCCACGTTTTTGCTAGGAGTCTCTATGACCCCTTAACAATAGTTGGCGATATCTCCAGGTAAAGAAAAAGGGAAACCACCGCTTTGGGGGGTCCCCTTCAAAAAAGACACCCATCTGCCTTGACCCCCCTGAAAATCCGAGAAAGGGCAGCTGCCCTGCGGAAGAAATATGCTCGTTCGACTACTCGGGATTCCTTTTTGGCGCTTTTTCAGAGGCAGAATCCTGCACCAGGGATTGGTGAAACCCTGGACATATTGGGATGAAGCAACCTACCAACTGGTGCAGCTGGTTATCCACCTAGGACCTTATAGAAGCCTTATGTTGGGAATGATTTGGTTATATGAATGGGGAACCACCTAGGTCCCCCGGCAGTGCCCTTTCTCACCCCTTTTTGGAGAAGGGTTCCCCTACTAAAATATACTACCGAAAAAGTTGGTACCCTTATTCGAACCTCTCTACTGGAGGACTTAGACGGGGAACCACCGATCCAAAAGTGGTTGGACATGAATCTCCAACTAAATCTCTGTAGTTTCCAGCCATCCCCTTAGCTTTTTAGTTGGTTTAGTGGTTGGGTTTCCATTTAACCCACTAAACGTGAGTCACTTTTAGCGGGGGATCTGAGGACGGCCCAGAAACTTGATGTCCAGCAAAGGGTCCCTTCTTAAAATCATTACCCATACACTCTTCCGTGTGCTTAAGAACATGTTTTTTGTTGACCCCATATTCCCATATTTATCAACCTCTGTTTGTGAAAAAGGGGGGGCGTCCCTGGGTTTAGTGGAGAGTCATCAGGTGAATGCGGTCATATATGAGCAACTAAATTTGACGCGAAAAGGATCCCACCTCGACTCTCGGAGGCCAAGTCGGAGAAATCTGTTTCTTAGGCGGTGCCCACCGGGAAGGCTATGGCGAGCTACCAGTGGACGCAGCTCCTTGGTGATCCATGGGCGGTTTGGTCCAAACATCAGGATTTGTCGATATTCTAGGGGTTGATTCCAAATCCATTCTTTTCAACCATCATTCTTTTCGAAAACCGGATCCGTTTCCCCTGGGTTTTTGATGGTTTCCTGAAAAGAAGGATCCCTGGAAAGAATGGGGAAGGTACCCCTAGATATATGGTCCATGTGGGTGTGTCATTTGGTGACACCCCCCCCCCCACAACAAGAAGAAACAAACAAAGCAAACAAGAAACGGTCGGTTTCTTTTTATCTTTACACCCGACCAAGAAGGGCGTAGCTACTCTAAAAACAACGAGCCACATATGTGATTGCGTTTCTCATGGGGGGACTTTCCACGGTTTTGGAGGGAAGCATTTGGAGCCACGCCCTCAAAACCCGGACAGATGAAGGCTAGTAAATGGGTAGACCATTTCAAAACCAGGTGTTGATAGTGACTCATTTGGAGGTGTCCCCTTTTGATAAACCCACATTAAGGGCGAGAATGGGAACTCAACAGTCAACCAAAGCCAACGAGCCTGGATTTCCCTATGTCTCTCCTTGAGGGGAAACGAACAAGTCATTTTCACCACGAGGCAGCACGGGGCACATCAATCTCTGGAAAAGGGGTCGTTTGTTTCCTTTTGCCCAAGGTTCAACCACACTGTGAGGATGTTTTTTGGGGGTTGAAAGGAGTTGAAGTGCTTTCTTACGTTATTTGGACCCTTTGGGTTAGTTTTCACTACCGGGGGGGGGGGGGGAGGACAAAATCAACATAAACTCGGCTGTTCAAAGGCAATCCGTTAGATCCCCTTGCGTCATGAAAGGATTTGCATTTGTAGTGGCTTTTCCATAGTATAGGATTGGCCAGGACAGGCCAGAACAGTCCTTTCAAAGAAGCTCAGCATGTCGCATGTGTGGATGGTTAAGCTGCTTGCCTCGTGAGAGGCTTGCTTTAAGGCATGCTGAATGGCTTGCGTTAAAGGATGTATCAAAGGTTGTACCACCAGACCTCTTGAACAGACCCATTGAGGATAAGCCAACAACAAGAGGAAATTAGGGCAAATAGGCCCTACATAAAGTTAAACTGTCGGATGTATTCTTTGGTCTGGTCTGGGGGACAGGGAGGGAAGTCATTGATTGAATGTAGGCATTGACAGCACATTTGCCTCACTTTCTCTTCGGCCTTGGCCTTCTGGTTTGGTTCATGGGCAAAGCTTGTGGGTACTCTGCGGATGAACATGGAGCTCCAACAAACATAGAACTTTGCTAGGACCCCCCCCCCCCTCCCCACAGGCACCACTGCCACAAACACACCTCCAGCAATTGTCTATTCGAGTTTTTCCCTCTTTCCGGTGTGTTTGGGCTGGGGGGGGGTGCGCTGGGGTTTGTTTGCGGGGTGTGAGAAGCGACGCTGTCTTTTGTTTTGCGTTGGCTAAGAACTTTAATGGGAAATCTCCCGCCCACATCATTGGTGGACATAAATCCCCAAACTGATGTTTACCAAGGAGTCCCCAAATTAAATTATCTTTGGGCTGGATCTAACCTTCTACTTTTTAGGAAATTAATCCCACTAGGCAACCACAAGTTACCTTTTTGCACTAGGGGCTTTTCGCCACACTCGGCTTGGATCTTTAGACTTTAACTTGGTTGAAATCGAGCTGGTCCATAT